CTGACCAGCCATTGTTAACAGCATTTGTTCCAGGACGTGCAACAGAGGAATGACGTCGTTCATCCCATAGTCCTGCCGACTCACGAATAGCGTGGCCTCCTCAAAGGGCCTGAGCAAGCGCAGGTGTCACGCATGAGCTGCCAATGGCTGACATCTAAGTTACACAGGGAATACCTTTATCCGCTTTTAACATCAGGAAATCTGTGATGGCCTTTTGCTGTTCGTAAAGGCGGTCTAACATATGTAGGGTTGAATTCCACCTTGTTGCAACGTCACAGCATGAGGAGTCGGTATAGGGGGCCCATGGCAGATTAGGGGCCTGGCAGCAGCAATGGGAGGCCCGTAATCTGCCAGCACCCTATGTCAAAAAATTCTACACACCAGCAGTGTGTGAGGAGACCTGAAAGTGGCACATGGCAGAGTGTGGCGATGGAGACAGCAGCAAATGGGAGGCCGTACAGGGACCCATGACAGACTCTGGACTTGGCAGCAGCAGCATGAGGAGGCGGTATATAGGGGCCTATGGCAGATTAGGGGCCTGGCAGCAGCTATGGAGGCCCATAATCTGCCAGCACCCTATGTCAAAAAATTCTAACACCAGCAGTGTGAGGAGACCTGAAAGTGGCACATGGCAGAGTGTGTGGCGATGGAGACAGCAGCAATGGGGGCACAGGGCCCATGAGAGACTCTGGACCTGGCAGCAGCATGAGGAGGCGGTATATAGGGGCCTATGGCAGATTAGGGGCCTGGCAGCAGCTATAGGAGGCCCGTAATCTGCCAGCACCCTATGTCAAAAAATTCTACACACCAGCAGTGTGTGAGGAGACCTGAAAGTGGCACATGGCAGAGTGTGGCGATGGAGACAGCAGCAATGGGAGGCCGTACAGGGACCCATGACAGACTCTGGACCTGGCAGCAGCATGAGGAGGCGGTATATATAGGGGCCTATGGCAGATTAGGGGCCTGGCAGCAGCTATGGGAGGCCCGTTAATCTGCCAGCACCCTATGTCAAAAAATTCTACACACCAGCAGTGTGTGAGGAGACCTGAAAGTGGCACATGGCAGAGTGTGGCGATGGAGACAGCAGCAATGGGAGGCCGTACAGGGACCCATGACAGACTCTGGACCTGGCAGCAGCATGAGGAGGCGGGGGCTATAGGGGCCTATGGCAGATTAGGGGCCTGGCAGCAGCTATGGGAGGCCCTTAATCTGCCAGCACCCTATGTCAAAAAAATTCACACACAGCAGTGTGTGAGGAGACCTGAAAGTGGCACATGGCAGAGTGTGGCGATGGAGACAGCAGCAATGGGAGGCCGTACAGGGACCCATGACAGACTCTGGACCTGGCAGCAGCATGAGGAGGCGGTATATATAGGGGCCTATGGCAGATTAGGGGCCTGGCAGCAGCTATGGGAGGCCCGTAATCTGCCCAGCACCCTATGTCAAAAAATTCTACACACACAGCAGTGTGTGAGGAGACCTGAAAGTGGCACATGGCAGAGTGTGGCGATGGAGACAGCAGCAAGCAGCAATGGGGGAGGCCGTACAGGGACCCATGACAGACTCTGGACCTGGCAGCAGCATGAGGAGGGGGGCGGTATATATAGGGGCCTATGGCAGATTAGGGGCCTGGCAGCAGCTATGGGAGGCCCCCATAATCTGCCAGCACCCTATGTCAAAAAATTCAACACACCAGCAGTGTGTGAGGAGACCTGAAAGTGGCACATGGCAGAGTGTGGCGATGGAGACAGCAGCAATGGGAGGCCGTACAGGGACCCATGACAGACTCTGGACCTGGCAGCAGCATGAGGAGGCGGTATATAGGGGCCTATGGCAGATTAGGGGCCTGGCAGCAGCTATATGGGAGGCCCGTAAATCTGCCAGCACCCTATGTCAAAAAATTCTACACACCAGCAGTGTGTGAGGAGACCTGAAAGTGGCACATGGCAGTGTGTGGCGATGGAGACAGCAGCAATGGGAGGCCGTACAGGGACCCATGACAGACTCTGGACCTGGCAGCAGCATGAGGAGGCGGTATATAGGGGCCTATGGCAGATTAGGGGCCTGGCAGCAGCAATGGGAGGCCCATAATCTGCCAGCACCCTATGTCAAAAAATTCTACACACCAGCAGTGTGTGAGGAGACCTGAAAGTGGCACATGGCAGAGTGTGGCGATGGAGACAGCAGCAATGGGAGGCCGTACAGGGACCCATGACAGACTCTGGACCTGGCAGCAGCATGAGGAGGCGGTATATAGGGGCCTATGGCAGATTAGGGGCCTGGCAGCAGCTATGGGAGGCCCTTAATCTGCCAGCACCCTATGTCAAAAAATTCTACACACACCAGCAGTGTGAGGAGACCTGAAAGTGGCACATGGCAGAGTGTGGCGATGGAGACAGCAGCAATGGGAGGCCGTGGGACCCATGACAGACTCTGGACTGGCAGCAGCATGAGGAGGCGGTATATAGGGGCCTATGGCAGATTAGGGGCCTGGCAGCAGCTATAGGGAGGCCCATAATCTGCCAGCACCCTATGTCAAAAAATTCAACACACCAGCAGTGTGTGAGGAGACCTGAAAGTGGCACATGGCAGAGTGTGGCGATGGAGACAGCAGCAATGGGAGGCCGTACAGGGACCCATGACAGACTCTGGACCTGGCAGCAGCATGAGGAGGCGGGCGGTATATAGGGGCCTATGGCAGATTAGGGGCCTGGCAGCAGCTATGGGAGGCCCGTAATCTGCCAGCACCCTATGTCAAAAAATTCTACACACAGCAGCAGTGTGAGGAGACCTGAAAGTGGCACATGGCAGAGTGTGGCGATGGAGACAGCAGCAATGGGAGGCCGTACAGGGACCCATGACAGACTCTGGACCTGGCAGCAGCATGAGGAGGCGGTATATAGGGGCCCATGGCAGATTAGGGGCCTGGCAGCAGCTATGGGAGGCCCGTAATCTGCCAGCACCCTATGTCAAAAAATTCTACACACCAGCAGTGTGTGAGGAGACCTGAAAGTGGCACATGGCAGAGTGTGGCGATGGAGACAGCAGCAATGGGAGGCCGTACAGGGACCCATGACAGACTCTGGACCTGGCAGCAGCATGAGGAGGCGGTATATAGGGGGCCCATGGCAGATTAGGGGCCTGGCAGCAGCTATGGGGAGGCCCATAATCTGCCAGCACCCTATGTCAAAAAATTCAACACACCAGCAGTGTGTGTGAGGAGACCTGAAAGTGGCACATGGCAGAGTGTGTGGCTGGAGACAGCAGCAATGGGAGGCCGGCCGTACAGGGACCCATGACAGAGACTCTGGACCTGGCAGCAGCATGAGGATGAGGGGTTAGGGTATATAGGGGCCTATGGCAGATTAGGGGCCTGGCAGCAGCTATGGGAGGCCCGTAATCTGCCAGCACCCTATGTCAAAAAATTCTACACACCAGCAGTGTGAGGAGACCTGAAAGTGGCACATGGCAGAGTGTGGCGATGGAGACAGCAGCAATGGGGGGAGGCCGTACAGGGACCCATGAGAGACTCTGGACCTGGCAGCAGCATGAGGAGGCGGGTATATAGGGGCCTATGGCAGATTAGGGGCCTGGCAGCAGCTATAGGAGGCCCATAATCTGCCAGCACCCTATGTCAAAAAATTCAACACACCAGCAGTGTGTGAGGAGACCTGAAAGTGGCACATGGCAGAGTGTGGCGATGGAGACAGCAGCAATGGGAGGCCGTACAGGGACCCATGACAGACTCTGGACCTGGCAGCAGCATGAGGAGGGGCGGTTAGGGGTATATAGGGGCCTATGGCAGATTAGGGGCCTGGCAGCAGCTATGGGAGGCCCGTAATCTGCCAGCACCCTATGTCAAAAAATTCTACACACACCAGCAGCAGTGTGTGAGGAGACCTGAAAGTGGCACATGGCAGAGTGTGTGGCGATGGAGACAGCAGCAATGGGAGGCCGTACAGGGACCCATGACAGACTCTGGACCTGGCAGCAGCATGAGGAGGCGGGTATATAGGGGCCTATGGCAGATTAGGGGCCTGGCAGCAGCTATATGGGAGGCCCGTAATCTGCCAGCACCCTATGTCAAAAAATTCTACACACCAGCAGTGTGTGTGAGGAGACCTGAAAGTGGCACATGGCAGAGTGTGGCGATGGAGACAGCAGCAATGGGAGGCCGTACAGGGACCCATGACAGACTCTGGACTGGCAGCAGCAGCAGGAGGAGGCGGTATATAGGGGGCCCATGGCAGATTAGGGGCCTGGCAGCTGGCAGCAGCTATGGGAGGCCCGTAATCTGCCAGCACCCTATGTCAAAAAATTCTACACACACACAGCAGTGTGTGAGGAGACCTGAAAGTGGCACATGGCAGAGTGTGTGGCGATGGAGACAGCAGCAATGGGAGGCCGTACAGGGACCCATGACAGACTCTGGACCTGGCAGCAGCATGAGGAGGCGGGATATATAGGGGCCCATGGCAGATTAGGGGCCTGGCAGCAGCTATGGGAGGCCCATAATCTGCCAGCACCCTATGTCAAAAAATTCTACACACCAGCAGTGTGTGAGGAGACCTGAAAGTGGCACATGGCAGAGTGTGTGGCGATGGAGACAGCAGCAATGGGAGGCCGTACAGGGACCCATGACAGACTCTGGACCTGGCAGCAGCATGAGGAGGCGGTATATAGGGGGGCCTATGGCAGATTAGGGGCCTGGCAGCAGCTATGGGAGGCCCGTAATCTGCCAGCACCCTATGTCAAAAAAATTTCTACACACCAGCAGTGTGTGAGGAGACCTGAAAGTGGCACATGGCAGAGTGTGGCGATGGAGACAGCAGCAATGGGACCGTACAGGGACCCATGACAGACTCTGGACCTGGCAGCAGCATGAGGAGGCGGTATATAGGGGCCATGGCAGATTAGGGGCCTGGCAGCAGCTATGGGAGGCCCATAATCTGCCAGCACCCTATGTCAAAAAATTCTACACACCAGCAGTGTGTGAGAGAGACCTGAAAGTGGCACATGGCAGAGTGTGGCGATGGAGACAGCAGCAATGGGAGGCCGTACAGGGACCCATGACAGACTCTGGACCTGGCAGCAGCATGAGGAGGCGGTATATAGGGGCCTATGGCAGATTAGGGGCCTGGCAGCAGCTATGGGAGGCCCTTAATCTGCCAGCACCCTATGTCAAAAAATTCTACACACCAGCAGTGTGTGAGGAGACCTGAAAGTGGCACATGGCAGAGTGATGGAGACAGCAGCAATGGGAGGCCGTGGGACAGACAGACTCTGGACCTGGCAGCAGCAGAGGAGGCGGTATATAGTGGCCCATGGCAGATTAGGGGCCTGGCAGCAGCTATAGGAGGCCCATAATCTGCCAGCACCCTATGTCAAAAAAATTCTACACACACCAGCAGTGTGTGAGGAGACCTGAAAGTGGCACATGGCAGAGTGTGGCGATGGAGACAGCAGCAATGGGGGAGGCCGTACAGGGGACCCATGACAGGACTCTGCAGCATGAGGAAGGAGGGCAGGGCAGCATGGCAGATTAGGAGCCTGGCGGTATATGGTAGCCCATAATCTGCCCCTATGGCAGATTCTAGGGGCCTGGCAGCAGCTATGGGAGGCCCTGAAAGTGCCAGCAGAGTATGTGGCGAAAAATTCTAGACACCAGCAGTGTGGGAGGCCTGAAAGGGCACATGGCATGAGAGACTCTGGACCTGGCAGCAGCATGAGGAGGCGGTATATAGGGGCCCATGGCAGATTAGGGGCCTGGCAGCAGCTATGGGAGGCCCATAATCTGCCAGCACCCTATGTCAAAAAATTCTACACACCACAGCAGCAGTGTGAGGAGACCTGAAAGTGGCACATGGCAGAGTGTGGCGCGATGGAGACAGCAGCAATGGGAGGCCGTACAGGGACCCATGACAGACTCTGGACCTGGCAGCAGCATGAGGAGGCGGTATATAGGGGGGCCCATGGCAGATTAGGGGCCTGGCAGCAGCTATGGGAGGCCCATAATCTGCCAGCACCCTATGTCAAAAAATTCAACACACCAGCAGTGTGTGAGGAGACCTGAAAGTGGCACATGGCAGAGTGTGGCGATGGAGACAGCAGCAATGGGAGGCCGTACAGGGACCCATGACAGACTCTGGACCTGGCAGCAGCATGAGAGGAGGCGGTATATAGGGGCCCATGGCAGATTAGGGGCCTGGCAGCAGCAGCTATAGGGGGCCCATAATCTGCCAGCACCCTATGTCAAAAAATTCAACACACCAGCAGTGTGTGAGGAGACCTGAAAGTAGCAATGGGAGGCCGTACAGGGACCCATGACAGACTCTGGACCTGGCAGCAGCATGAGGAGGCGGTATATAGGGGCCCATGGCAGATTAGGGGCCTGGCAGCAGCTATGGGAGGCCCTACGTAATCTGCCAGCACCCTATGTCAAAAAATTCAACACACCAGCAGTGTGTGAGGAGACCTGAAAGTGGCACATGGCAGAGTGTGGCGATGGAGACAACCCACCGGACTGTTTTGCTCGCTGCCAAGCTGCCACCCTCTTCTCCTGATGATGCAGACAGCAATAGCCTGATGGACGGACGAGGCTGCCAAGTGCGATCAGCCTCACTCATCAAGGAATTAGGGTCTCCGCCTCACTACTAGCCCCCTCGGCTGCGTGTGGGTCAGGAGACAGACCTGTCTCTACACCGGCTACCGAGCCACTCTCCTCGCCACTACCGAGCAAACACTCTCCTGCCATGTCTCCCCCGTTCCTGACCGCCCTCTGTTAGCTCTTCCTCACTGTAATGGATGACACCGGGAGCACTGGCCTCTGGCTGCGAATAGTGCTGCCTCGACCCCTTCCTCTGCTGCCACACTGTCTGCTCGCTCCTAAAACATTGCCTCCTCTGCCACTCCTCTGCAATGTTGTCTGACATCCTCTTTAATTAAACGATTATGTGTCCCTGAGTAACAATTCTGTGTCCCTGAGTAAACAATTCTGTGTCTGGGCGAGTAACAATTCTGTGGCCCTAAGTAACAGTTCTGTGGCCCTCAGTAACAATTCTGTGTCCCTGATTAACGTTTCTGTGGCCCCAAGTAACAGTTCTGTGGCCCTCAGTAACAATTCTGTGTCTGTGGCGAGTAACAATTCTGTGTCTGTGCGAGAAACAATTCTGTGGCCCTAAGTAAAGTTTCTGTGGCCCTAAGTAACAATTCTCTGGCACTCAGTAACAATTCTGTCTGTCCCTGAGTAACAATTCTCTGGCACTCAGTAACAATTCTGTCTGTCCCTGAGTAAAAATTCTGTGGCCCTAAGTAAAGTTTCTGTGGCCCTGAGTAACAATTATCTGGCACTCCGTAACAATTCTGTCTGTCCCTGAGTAACAATTCTCTGGCACTCAGTAACAATTCTGTCTGTCCCTGAGTAAAAATTCTCTGGCCCTAAGTAAAGTTTCTGTGGCCCTGAGTAACAATTCTCTGGCACTCCGTAACAATTCTGTCTGTCCCTGAGTAACAATTCTCTGGCACTCCGTAACAATTCTGTCTGTCCCTGAGTAAAAATTCTGTGGCCCTAATTAAAGTTTCTGTGGCCCTGAAGTAACAATTCTCTGGCACTCAGTAACAATTCTGTCTGTCCCTGAGTAACAATTCTCTGGCACTCGGTAACAATTCTGTCTGTCCCTGAGTAACAATTCTCTGGCACTCAGTAACAATTCTGTCTGTCCCTGAGTAAAAATTTCTGGGCCCTAATTAAAGTTTCTGTGGCCCTAAGTAACAATTCTCTGGCACTCAGTAACAATTCTGTCTGTCCCTGAGTAACAATTCTCTGGCACTCCGTAACAATTCTGTCTGTCCCTGAGTAACAAATTCTCTGGCACTCAGTAACAATTCTGTCTGTCCCTGAGTAAAAATTCTCTGGCCCTAAGTAAAGTTTCTGTGGCCCTAAGTAACAATTCTCTGGCACTCAGTAACAATTCTGTCTGTCCCTGAGTAACAATTCTCTGGCACTCAGTAACAATTCTGTCTGTCCCTGAGTAAAAATTCTGTGGCCCTAAGTAAAGTTTCTGGGGCCCTGAGTAACAATTTCTCTGGCACTCAGTAACAATTCTGTCTGTCCCTGAGTAACAATTCTCTGGCACTCTCAGTAACAATTCTGTCTGTCCCTGAGTAACAATTCTCTGGCACTCAGTAACAATTCTGTCTGTCCCTGAGTAAAAATTCTGTGGCCCTAAGTAAAGTTTCTGTCTGGCCCTGAGTAGTAACAATTATCTGGCACTCCGTAACAATTCTGTCTGTCCCTGAGTAACAATTCTCTGGCACTCAGTAACAATTCTGTCTGTCCCTGAGTAAAAATTCTCTGGCCCTAAGTAAAGTTTCTGGGGCCCTGAGTAACAATTCTCTCTGGCACTCCGTAACAATTCTGTCTGTCCCTGAGTAACAATTCTCTGGCACTCAGTAACAATTCTGTCTGTCCCTGAGTAAAAATTCTGTGGCCCTAATTAAAGTTTCTGTGGCCCTGAGTAACAATTCTCTGGCACTCCGTAACAATTCTGTCTGTCCCTGAGTAACAATTCTCTGGCACTCAGTAACAATTCTGTCTGTCCCTGAGTAACAATTCTCTGGCACTCAGTAACAATTCTGTCTGTCCCTGAGTAAAAATTCTGTGGGCCCTAAGTAAAGTTTCTGGGGCCCTGCCCTGAGTAACAATTCTGTCTGGCACTCCGTAACAATTCTGTCTGTCCCTGAGTAACAATTCTCTGGCACTCAGTAACAATTCTGTCTGTCCCTGAGTAAAAATTCTCTGGCCCTAAGTAAAGTTTCTGTGGCCCTGAGTAACAATTCTCTGGCACTCCGTAACAATTCTGTCTGTCCCTGAGTAACAATTCTCTGGCACTCAGTAACAATTCTGTCTGTCCCTGAGTAAAAATTCTGTGGCCCTAATTAAAGTTTCTGTGGCCCTAAGTAACAATTCTCTGGCACTCAGTAACAATTCTGTCTGTCCCTGAGTAACAATTCTCTGGCACTCGGTAACAATTCTGTCTGTCCCTGAGTAACAATTCTCTGGCACTCAGTAACAATTCTGTCTGTCCCTGAGTAAAAATTCTGTGGCCCTAATTAAAGTTTCTGTGGCCCTAAGTAACAATTCTCTGGCACTCAGTAACAATTCTGTCTGTCCCTGAGTAACAATTCTCTGGCACTCCGTAACAATTCTGTCTGTCCCTGAGTAACAATTCTCTGGCACTCAGTAACAATTCTGTCTGTCCCTGAGTAAAAATTCTCTGGCCCTAAGTAAAGTTTCTGTGGCCCTGAGTAACAATTCTCTGGCACTCCGTAACAATTCTGTCTGTCCCTGAGTAACAATTCTCTGGCACTCCGTAACAATTCTGTCTGTCCCTGAGTAAAAAATTCTGTGGCCCTAATTAAAGTTTCTGTGGCCCTAAGTAACAATTCTCTGGCACTCAGTAACAATTCTGTCTGTCCCTGAGTAACAATTCTCTGGCACTCGGTAACACAATTCTGTCTGTCCCTGAGTAACAATTCTCTGGCACTCAGTAACAATTCTGTCTGTCCCTGAGTAAAAATTCTGTGGGCCTAATTAAAGTTTCTGTGGCCCTAAGTAACAATTCTCTGGCACTCAGTAACAATTCTCTCTGTCCCTGAGTAACAATTCTCTGGCACTCAGTAACAATTCTGTCTGTCCCTGAGTAAAAATTCTGTGGCCCTAATGAAAGTTTCTGTGGCCCTAAGTAACAATTCTCTGGCACTCAGTAACAATTCTGTCTGTCCCTGAGTAACAATTCTCTGGCACTCGGTAACAATTCTGTCTGTCCCTGAGTAACAATTCTCTGGCACTCAGTAACAATTCTGTCTGTCCCTGAGTAAAAATTCTGTGGCCCTAATTAAAGTTTCTGTGGCCCTGAGTAACAATTCTCTGGCACTCAGTAACAATTCTGTCTGTCCCTGAGTAACAATTCTCTGGCACTGAGTAACAATTCTGTCTGTCCCTGAGTAAAAATTCTGTGGCCCTAATTAAAGTTTCTGTGGCCCTAAGTAACAATTCTCTGGCACTCAGTAACAATTCTGTCTGTCCCTGAGTAACAATTCTCTGGCACTCAGTAACAATTCTGTCTGTCCCTGAGTAACAATTCTGTGGCCCTAACTAGCGTTTCTTTGTCCCTAAGTAACAGTTCTGTGGCCCTCAGTAACAGTTCTGTGTCTGTGCGAGTAACAATTCTGTGTCTGTGCGAGTAACAATTCTGTGGCCCTAAGTAACAGTTCTGTGGCCTTCAGTAACAATTCTGTGTCTGTGCGAGTAACAATTCTGTGTCTGTGCGAGTAACAATTTCTGTGGCCCTAAGTAAAGTTTCTGTGGCCCTAAGTAACAATTCTCTGGCACTCAGTAACAATTCTGTCTGTCCCTGAGTAACAATTCTCTGGCACTCAGTAACAATTCTGTCTGTCCCTGAGTAAAAATTCTGTGGCCCTAAGTAAAGTTTCTGTGGCCCTGAGTAACAATTCTCTGGCACTCAGTAACAATTCTGTCTGTCCCTGAGTAACAATTCTCTGGCACTGAGTAACAATTCTGTCTGTCCCTGAGTAAAAATTCTGTGGCCCTAATTAAAGTTTCTGTGGCCCTAAGTAACAATTCTCTGGCACTCAGTAACAATTCTGTCTGTCCCTGAGTAACAATTCTCTGGCACTCAGTAACAATTCTGTCTGTCCCTGAGTAACAATTCTGTGGCCCTAACTAGCGTTTCTTTGTCCCTAAGTAACAGTTCTGTGGCCCTCAGTAACAGTTCTGTGTCTGTGCGAGTAACAATTCTGTGTCTGTGCGAGTAACAATTCTGTGGCCCTAAGTAACAGTTCTGTGGCCTTCAGTAACAATTCTGTGTGTCTGTGCGAGTAACAATTCTGTGTCTGTGCGAGTAACAATTCTGTGGCCCTAAGTAAAGTTTCTGTGGCCCTAAGTAACAATTCTCTGGCACTCAGTAACAATTCTGTCTGTCCCTGAGTAACAATTCTCTGGCACTCAGTAACAATTCTGTCTGTCCCTGAGTAAAAATTCTGTGGCCCTAAGTAAAGTTTCT